CAAGTGCAATTTATCTTATTACTTCCTTGGTAGTCATTCTTTATTTTGTCCTTCAAGGCTATTTCCTGTGCCATCTACATCCTATGTTTTAGTATATCTAAAACAACTTTAAAAAGTAGAGCTTTAGACCAGACCCATCCATAGATCACAGTTGGTTGACTGATTGATTGATTAATGGATTTGAGTACAGTCTTATTCAGAGAAATATTTCTGTCCAGCTCACACTTTAAAGTCAAAGAACCAAAGGAAACAATAATAAAAGAACCAAAAGAGTGGTAATATATAATGTAAAAGAGTGACATATATTATTAATATGTAATAATACATAATATAAATATAATTATGTGTGTATTATATAAATATTTAATATACATTCTGATAGAATTATATTATCATATAATATTATTTAGAGTGATATTGTAATATATAATGTAAAATAGTGGTAATATATAATGTAAGATGGATTAGGGAATGACATGATAGCAGTGTTCCAATATTTGAAGGGCTGCCACAAAGAAGAGGGGGTCACCCTATTTTCCAAAGAACCAGAAGACAAAACAAGAAACAATGGATGGAAGTGAATCAAGGAGAGAAGCAACCTAAAATTAAGGAGAAATTTACTAACAGTGAGAAAAATTAACCAATGGACCAGAAGAGATTGGACAGCCACTTGTCTGGAATAGTATAGGGTCTTCTGCTTGAGCAGAGGGTTGGACTAGAAGACCTCCAAGGTCCCTTCCAATTCTGTTATTCAGCACATAAGGGAAATGATTTTATTATTCACAGTCATGAAATCAAGATATGCTATCAGGGAGTGGATCATGTCAAGCCTGCTTAATCAACTTTAGAAAAGCACAGCAAGGGTGTAGCCATATGGGCCTTAGGGAATGCTGTTTCACAGGCAGCTGTAGCTAAAAAGAAGGTGCTTTTCCTAAATCCCATGAGGTGACTGCTGTACAATTCTACCAGATCTTATTGGTAAGGCAAAAATGTCAAGGGAAATGTAGTCCCATAGGTAACCAGATCCTAAACTATGAAATACTTCATTGGTAATCATCAACATCTTGAAATTGCATCTTCAAGCCCTTTGGTAATCTGGTGCTGTGCACAAGAGCAGAGATGCTACATGGACAAAAAGTGGAATGCCTATAGTTATTTATACAACTGCATTCTAGTTCAGTTGAAATTTCCAAGTGATTATCAAAGGCAATAAATTGCAGTTTCCAAACTGGTAGCTATTAAGATATGATTATGAGGATCTCCCAGTCCAGGAAAGGTTGCCATTGGAATGCAAGATGGATTTGTGTAAAGATCCTCATGACTATGGCTGCCATCTGTTCATTAAGTGGGAGTCTTAGAGTGCCACCTGGGAAAATGCAAGCCCATCAAGAATTCAAGATGGTGAATCCCTTAGACCAGGGGTGTCCAACCTTGGCAACTTTAAGACATGTGGACTTCAACTCCCAGAATTCCTCAGCCAGCTTTGCTGGCTGAGGAATTCTGGGAGTTGAAGTCCACAAGTCTTAAAGTTGCCAGGGTTGGACACCCCTGCCTTAGACTTTGAGAGCAAACCACTCACTCTTTGTAGGCCTGAACCTAAGCTTGCTCCTTTCCATCCATATACTTAACATCAATAGATAGGAGCTATGCAGCATTGCCCATTCATTTAGGAGATTGGATATATAACTCAGTGTCATCTGCATAGTGATAATATCTTAACCTATGCTGGTGGATGTTCTCACTCAGCAACCTAATGTTGACATCAAACTGAAACCCTGAATAGCAAAGGCCTTAGGCTAAATCTCTACCTACCTACCTACATTAACTGGAAATCACTTCAGAAGAAGGAAGAGAACTGGTACAGTACAGTGCTCTCATTCCCAGTCCCCATAGGCTGCCCAGAAGGCCTACTTTATTGGTGATATTAAATTCTTCTTAGAAATCAAGTAGGACCAGGAGAATCAGATCCAATCTTGGTCTGTCCAAAGTTCATCTAGAAACATATTCAATATTTTATTACTCTACTGAAAGAGCTATCTGTTTTCTCCAAGTCCCTTTAAAATTGCTGTACTATTTCCTTCAACACAACCTTCATTTTAACCTTGTACATAGGTTAACAGTTTGAAATCTAGCAATCGGGACTTACCACTGCCTCCTTCAAGGCAGGCATGGCATGGCAACACCATCACTCAAGGATAAATTAAATCACCCTTTGAATTCAGTTCTTGATCACTTTCTTGGAGATTAGATTAGATTCAACTTTACTGTCATTGCACATGAATGCAACTAAATGTAGTTAGCATCTAACCAGAAGCGCAAAACAACAATGAAGTATAAATATATATATACAGATATATAAAATATATAACTATATAAGGATATACAGAACATCTATGAATATACAGAATATATGTCTATGGAAGGAATATATACGACTGTACAGAGTGTTTATGAACATATTGAATATAAGTATAATGCGCAGAGAGTTTATACAAGATATATATTATCAGATATATATTATATATATTATCAGTGTGGGGGGGGGAATAGATGAGTTGAGGAATTCAATAAGGAGACCGCTGTATGGTAATAGCTGTTCCTTAGCCTGCTGGTCTTAGATTGCAGGCACCTGAACCTCCTTCCAGATGAAAGAAGGGTAAACGGTTTATGGGCTGGATGGGAGGAGTCTTTAACGATGCTGTGGGCTTTTCACAGACATCATTTCCTCTGAATGTCCACAATAGTAGGAAGTGGGATCCCTATAATGCGTTGGGCGGTTTTCACCACCCTCTGTAATGCCTTCCTTTATTTAATGGTGCAATTTCCATACCAGTCTGAAATACAGCTGGTTAGGATGCTCTCGACTGCACAGCTGTAGAATTTGATTAGAATAGTTGGGGAAAGGTGGTTCTTCCTTAGTAATCTCAGAAAGAAGAGACGTTGGTGGGCTTTCTTGATCAGGCTGGTGGTGTTGATCTGCCAGGACAGATCCTCAGAGAGGTGGATCCCCAGGAACTTGAAGCTGGTGACACGCTCTACCGTTCTCCCATCCATGCCCAGCTAGAATAAATCTCTGAAGATCCTGTCCATTTCTTCAAGACTCATAGATTCCATCTTCTTCTGGAGAGTAGGCAAGTTTTCCTCAGTCAACTGTATAGAAATTCCCCAGGAAGAATCCAACATCAAATAATCCAAGTTATTTTATCCATCAAATGCCTAATATATTTTCACAGAAATCTGAACATTCATTTTGTGTCTCAACCCTCATAGGCATCTGGATTACCTTTAAGAGAGCTGTGGCCATGATAAGGGCATTAAAATTTTTATGTCATATTTCTTGCAACTAAGTAAAATAAGCTTACATAAAATAAACTAAAAGTAACGACACAATGATATTTAAGCAGGAGAGTAACAGACAATATTTAATCAAGTTATGTTAAATAGTAAATGCATATCTCAGAAATCATTCATAATCCGGACAGAAACGTAGGATGTAAAGGAAGTAGTATGATGGTTCCTTACATAGTTCCTTACATGTCTTTTTTCCTGATGTTTTGTTTGGCATCCAAGACACAGAGGGTGATCTATATTTATATTTTACGTTTTTATGTTTATTTTGCTTTGCATTGAATTCAAGGTTTGCTTCAAATAGTTAATGAGTTTTGCTTGAAAATAGCTATAAGCATAATCTGTGTGGTTTCATAGAACTATATATAAATTTAGATTTTATGTAAGTCTGCTTGTAAAATGAAATATTGCTTTGCAGGCTTTCTTTCTATTTGTCTTTGTATGGTTTTGCTTTTTTATGCAGGAAAAACCAGGCATTATAGATAACAACCTATATAAATACTGGAGCAAACCTATCTGTTATCTATGATAAAATTGAATAGCAAAGAAAATTAGAAATTATGTGTATGCTATGCAGAAGAAATTATTAAAAGTGGAGACTTTGAAAATAAAATAAAATTAACTATGTTATTCCTGAAGGGAGAAATTAATCATCTGTGAATAATACCATATCTTTGCATATGATGTAATGTTCAGTGCAATATTGTTGTTGAATTATTGCTAAAGATAACCCTTAATTCTTTCATTGTCTATTTCTGACACAACATGTACAATCAATGTCATTTGAGTTTGGGGTTGTGGAAGAAAATATATCTGTATAAACAATTAAGTATTCAATAATTTGCCAGTGAAGCTCTGACATTTTTTTCAGGATTATTCATTTCTAATCTAAATTAAACTTTTTGTACTACTGTATTCAAATTTATGAAACATTCAGAATATCTTGTTAGGAAGTATTTTAGAACCATTTTCATTAATGCCTCAAAATCCCTTTTGATATATAGCAATGTAATTTTGTTGCTTGTAAATGTATAAATTTAAAGGAACAAAAGTTTTCAGACAGCAAAAATAGCAGTCTTGTTCATGACATATGTAAATCAGTTTTGCCATTGTTCTGTGAATGATTACCGGTAATAAATAACTGAGACTTCCATTCGTATTTCATTTGTTTATAATTCTCACTGTTTATGATTTTTCCTCATCCAGCTTTACTTTTGGTGATTAAATAAATCTGACAGAAAGTTATGCATGCATCTGAAAGCATATGGAATAGTCACGTTAGATATCACAAACCCTTTTGTGGTTTTTATACTTAATTCAGAAGGTTTATCTCAGTTGTTTTCTCTATTTTTAAAATGGAAGGAAAATCCACTTCTATGAACTTGATGAAAATTATGCACAGAAATAGTATGACCAATTCAAAAGAATTTTCCAACATATGAAAATAATCGTATCATAAGATTGGTACAATGACAATGGTAGACACCAATATTCCAACTTTAAAAAGTAAAGCTTTTAAACTTTAATATTTTACCTTTAGATATTTTTATCCTTATAAAAAGGTATGTTATTTCTACCAATAAAGAAGGATATTTGTAGCTGAGAGTTTGTTTGGGGTCCTTGATGCTCTCTTAGGCTGGTGGTTTTCTTACAGATGTTTTCATCAGTGCTAGTATTACTATTGGCAGCATTGATGATGTTACCTAATTTGAATAATGAAACATCTACAAGAAAACCACCAGGTTCAGGGAGTACCAAAGACCTGTTATTTCCTCACTGAAGTAGAAAGGCAATATAGCAATTCTACATATTCTTTGATTTTTTTTATATCAGTCACTATTAGAGCTGCATAGCCTAATAGTCTCTTGTGATAATTACCATCACAATAGATATGAGCACAAATCTACAGCTTTCTTTGAATATCTGCATAATTATGCAGTCATAAGTAACCCTTTTCAAATCAGTTGTATACCTTTTCCTGTCAAAGGTAATGTTATTATTGTCATATTTTTGTAAACATTTAATTGTTAATATGGATCTTAAAATTCATATACTGCCATATAGCTACCTCAATATTCATGCATGCTGAAATATTAGTGTTGTGTCTTTTCCTGGCAGATTACTTGAATGAACAATAATCATTTCTTTAAACTGATTTCAGAGATAAAAATCTGAACCAAATATACAACATTAGGATCAATATAATCCAATTATTATTATTGGTTTTTATAGGTTTAGCAACATTTTAATAAGGAAATAGCAATTTAATATTGGCATAGCTCTGTAATACTTTAAAAGCAATTGCACAAGTTGTTTACAAGAATTTCTAAAAATACTGTCAAAGAAAATATATTGGGCAAATGGATGAAACTAAAAAATATTAGAAGAAAAACGAAGTCCATGAAATAAACTTTAAAATCCAAACTAGCACCCGTTTTTCTAAAAATGAAATATTAGAGAGTTTAATTTTAGAATAATATATAGTTCTATATAAAATATTGTACAGTTATATTTAACTGGGAGGAAATGTTCATTGCTTTTCTGTATTTGGCTAATGTTGGAAGTTAGAGAGGCAGGAGAAACAACACATTTTTCTCTGTGTTCTGGAACATAGCTACCCATCTGAGGAGCCATTGTGAGGATACTTGAAAGAGGTAAAAAAATTGTCAGGGAAATTATTTGGCTGCTTATGTAGTCTTACAACAAACTAATGATGTACAGGCATTATCACTTTTAACATTCCACTGCATTTTGATTTATAATTGGAAACTAAAGCTAATTTCAGCCACAAATGTTTAGGTTTACTTTGATATATGTATTGTGTATTTATTTTTTTTCCACAGAAACCTGCTAATATTTTAGTTATGGGTGAAGGTCCTGAGCGAGGAAGAGTAAAAATTGGTATGTTTATATCTTTGATAAGTCCAGTGTAGCATTTAAGACAGAATGTTCTAACGGTGTATAGGTCAATACTTATTGTTAAAATCTACTGGATCACAAATCAAATAGAGATAACATGTTCGTGTTGGACAGTGTTAGAGCAGGTTGTAGGCTGGGAGAACCTAAATTAGGCCCTGCTTTCATTAAAAATGTTGTAATTCTCCTCAGTGATGCTAACATTTAATAGTAAATTTAACAGCCATAATTGGAAAAGTATTGATAATTCCTCAATCATAGGAAGCAAAGGAAAAACTGCATGTTTTTAATAGGAAAAAGCTGTGAAAATTGTATGATTTTTATTTCTGGTTGAACTACATTTTGTAATATAGAAATTTTATATTTTATTTAGATAGTTCTTTTAAAATATTAAAACATATAGTTTAATAGCAAAGCTCACAATAACCAAATAATATTTTGACTGCACGTCAGTGTCCTGAGGGACATATGCACCAGCAAATGCTTAATGTGCATCCTGAATCTTTAAGCAGATACATCCAGATATTACTGCAGAACATTTAAATATACTTAATTTTCCTTTCTCTAAATTCCTTTTCTAAGATGAATTTACATGCAATTAACACGATCTCAATTAGATGAGACTGTTGAACAGCAGTCTGTTAAAATAGCTGGTCCTGTCTGAAACTAATGTATGTTTCAGTTAGAAAGAAATGGAATTAGACCAATATTGAACACTCCATCACTTAGACCTGTAAATAAATAATTATGCTAACACTAACAGATTTAAGTCCTCTTGTCAGTGAAACATGATGGTCTAATAGCAGAGGACAGATTGCACTTTTAGTGTTAATTGCAGTGATGCTTCTTGTGATACAGGTAACCCATCACCTATTATTTGAAAATTGACACCTACTTTTCTTGCAAACATGAACTATTTACAAAATTCTGAAAAGTATGATTGCTCCCCCAAGCAGTTACACATTAGTATTGGATTTGAAAGACCACTTCTTCCAATTCAGTTAAGCCAGCCAATGCCATTAACAGCAAGTTTGCCTTTCAAAAGTGTGATAAAGCTGAGGATTCATAAACAATAATCATGTTGGTCTTTTCCTGTTTAAATTTTTTTAAAAAATTCAGATATTTATATTCTGACACTATCCTTCCCTTCCTCCCCATTTTCTATGCAGCCAAAGGTGATCTATTAACATTCATTTTTTTCAACAGTTAAATGTATGTTGTCTAATGCAGAATAAAATTAATTTTTTTAAAATGAAATGTAACAAAAGTTTAAATAGGGTCCCATATAGTTAAAGAAGTCTTAATATTGTAGAGCAAATGAATGGGATTTTTTCAAATGAATATCTAAATATCTGGTACCTTGCTCCTGAAACATACTTAGGTTTCGTATTTTTAAAAAACCTTTGTTGCGTGCCCTATAATTGCAACCTCAGATTCTCAGCTCTATTGGAATTTCTACTGAAAAATGCATTATTTTTGCATTTAGCCGCAGCAGTAGTTTTATTATGCAAGTAATATACAGTATTTTATTAATCTGTTGCTGTTTAAATACTTTCAAGCATCACTTATTTTAAATCTACCAAAGTAGAGAAGAATTAGGTAGCTAAGTGAACACACCAGGAATTCAGATGTGTTATTTTCCTAGCTTAAGAAGAATCCTGCTACCTTTGAATAGTAGGTTCTATTAATTTGCTAGTTGCTTTATTGCCCTGGTTGCTACAAATTGAACTGTTTCTGTCAGATTACTAATTTGGTATTAGAAATATTTTCATCTTAACATGCATCAATATTTTTATATGCATTAAAATATTCTTGCCATTTGCAAGTGATTCAGTTCCAGATTTCCAAACTTTCCAAGGACTGATCAGAATGTAGGGGACATCCTGCACGACCAAGTGTTCATATTAGCATGTTTTAATCATGCAACACACTCTGTACGCGTCTTTTGAAACAAGTTCAATATGTTTAAAAGTTAAATTATACAGGATTTCTGCATATTTGAACTCAAATCAGTTTGTATTAAGCAACATATATGTTAAAATTCAATTTCCCTCCTCATTTTACAGCTGACATGGGCTTTGCCCGACTATTTAATTCACCTTTGAAGCCTTTAGCTGATTTGGATCCAGTAGTTGTTACATTCTGGTATCGAGCTCCAGAATTACTGCTTGGAGCAAGACATTATACCAAAGCTATTGGTAAGTAATGTAATTGTCATTGTTAAGTTAGGAATATTGTATCATTTAAGTCTGACTTCCTTATTTTTTTGCATAGAAAGGGTATGCCACATCTTATACAGACTTCTTTCAATTGCCTAGACATGTTCTTCACAATTAATTGGCAAAACCCCCTATTTGTTGATATGTTTCATGTTTTGATAATAAACGTCTCTAACATTTAGCACTAAAATTGATTTGTGTTGTAGAACAAGGACAGGAATTTGTTAGCTTTGAATCCAGATTTAAGAACAAAGTGATTCAAATCCGCAGAAACTGGATGCTGATGTTTAGGTTCCTCAGATTTTCTAAACAATACTAGTATGTTCCCTCAAATGCGAGTAAAACTTACTTCATTGGGAATAATGAAGGCAAAAACACCCTTACTCCAATCATTCACCTTGCACATGTCTGGAACCAATGATTTGATGATTCTTATAGCCTTGATTACTAGACCTAAAATAATATATTTAGTTTTAATTACATTATTACAAAAAAAAAAAAACCCTATTACCAAGCCTTTCTAAATTCTCCATCAACGTTATCTCTTTCATCTAAATCACAGGTGTCAAACTCCCGACATCACATTGCTGTCATGTGATATATTGTGATGTTTTCCCGCTTCGTGGAGCTGGGGTGGGTGTGGCCTGCATGTGATGCTTCTGGGCCGCAGGCAGTTTGACACCCCTAATCTAAATTTAGTTAATGCCTAAAGTCTCTGATAGAATTACTTACAAAGTATTATGAAAAATACATTTGTTCTATAGATTTTAATAATTTCATTGAATGAGCATTTATTTTTTGTTTTATTTTATTATATTTTTTAACCTCCAGTTGACTCTGGGCAACTTACAAAATCATAATTGCTGATATTACAAAAGAAAAGGGAAAATACTTCCTTTCCCTGGATAGAACTTTTGATTATGTTGACTTCATCTCTTTTCATGACAATCTAAAATCAAACTCACAAATACACTAGTTCTCACTAGACTTGTTTCTGTCCTGAATAATCTGATGACATCTGGAAACCCTATTTAAGAACAGAAACACCATTGTAAATCCTTAAAGTTGAGCATTGCTCATTGCCATGTCTGTGAGAATCGTCATACTTACGCTCTCAGCCATAGG